GCCTGGCGGCACACGCCTATAATTCCAGCACTTGGTGGGCTGAGGTAGGAGGACTGCTGAGAGCTGGATGCCAGCCTGAACTACATAGTGAGACCTTGTCTTAAAAAAACAAAAATAGAGCTGGGCATGGTGGCACATACCTGTGATCCCAGCACCCGGCTAAGGCAGAAGGATCACCTCGAGTTTGAGGCCAGCCTGGGCGACATAGTGAGTTCAGGGCCAGCCTGAATTACAAAGGGAGACCCTGCCTCAAAAAACCAAAAATAAACAAACAAATAAAAAAACCCAACCAAACAAACAAACAAAAAGTAGAGATGTCAACCAGGCATAGTGGCAGTGTTTGTAATCCCAGCACTCTGGGAGGCTAAAGCAGGTGGATCACAAGTTCAAGCCCTAACAGTTTGTAACAGTTAAATCTTGGAAACAGCCCAAATGCCCATCAACGACAAATGGATAAAGAAGATGTGGTTTATTTATACAACAGAGTACTACTCTGCCATAAAGAAGAATGAGCTTGAGACATTACTGGTAAATGGATGCACCTTGAGTGAAATTACCCTTATGTGAAATAAACTGGACACACATGTGTAATTAATTGTTTCTCTGATGTAGGAAACCGACAATGGAAATAAGGACTAAAATGTACAACAGTTATTGGGAAATGGGAAGAAAATGTTCAAATGAGGAGAACAAGAGAAGGGAAGGGAGAAAGGAAAGAAGGGACAAGAAAAAAGGAAAATAGAAGGAAAAAGGGAAACAAAGCTTTTGTATATAACGAAGGGAAGAGGGGTTGGAGAGGGGGAATGTGGAAAAAAAGAAGCAAGATATATCATGTACAGGTACAAATTCCCTATGATTAATTTTATCATTATGTACATCTAAAATGTACCAATAAATGTTTTGCTTTACAAAAAACAAAACAAAACACATATTCGAGCCCAGTTTGGACAACTCAGGGACTAAGTAGGACTGTCTCAAGGAAAAAAAATGAGTGGAGTAGGGTGGTGTAGCTCAGTGCAAAGCCCTAGTTTCAAACCCCAGTAAAAAACAAAACAAACAAAAAAAACAAACCCTGAAAGGTATCAAAAGACAATCTAGCAAATGTGTTATACCAATACAATTTCTTAAACTGTTAGAAACATCAAGCTTTCTATTTACTTTCATAAAACTGACAAAACTATCTATACTTGATTCCTAATGCTTATTGAAAATAGGAAAAACAAAAAATGCTGCTACCTCCTCAAAATATATAGCTCTAAACACAGTTACTGTTTGTTTTTTGACACATGGTCTTGCTGCGCAACCTGGCCTTGAACTGCTAGGCTCAAATGATCCTCTTATCTCAGTCTCCTAACTGGCCTAGACAGAGGGTTTTCTTTTTTTGAATACCAGGGATCAAACTCAGGACCACTTGAGAAGCAGGTGCGGTGCCACTGAGCTAACCCTGGCCAGTTTTTATAGCTAGCACACATAACTGTATTTTCCAAAAACGATGACTGCTCTTTGATTCAAAATAATAACATCCTCTTTGGTGTGGTGGTGCATGCCAGTAATCCCAGCACTCTGGGAGGCTAAGGCAGGAGATCGAAAGTTGAAGCTCAGCCTGGGAAATTTAGGGACTTAGCCCTATATTAAAAATAAAAAATTTTTTGTTGTTTGTTTTTGAGACAGGGTCTCATTATGTAGTTCAGGCTGGCCTTGAACTCCTGGTGCTTCTTCTCCCTCAGTCTCCTTGAGTGCTGGGATTAGAGGTGTGCATCACCACACCCAGCCTTGAAAACATCTTTTACAGGGAGAAGGGGCTGGAGTGTAGCTCAGTGCAAAGGTCCTGGGGTTCAAAACCCAGTCAAAAAAGAAAAAGGCTGAGGACATAGCACAGTGCCAAAGCACTGGGTTCAAACCACAGAAATGCCAAAAATAAATAAATACTAACATTTACATGGCACTTGTATCCAACACTATTCTAAATGTTTGCATAATTTATTCCACTTATGGACATAAGAATCCTATAAAGTAGGTACTAATACTATCCCCATTTTTCAAATGATGAAAATGAGGCTCACAGGTAATTTTTTTTTTTTTTGGTGGTACTGGGGATCAAACTCAGGACCTTGTGCTTGTGAAGTAGGGGGTGGAACCACTGAGCTAAATCCCTGGCCTGGTAATTCTTATCTACAATTACTTTTCCAAATATTCAGTGGCTAAATTTCAAGCTAAATTAGTCACACATGAATTCTAATCAAGCCAAATTTATGACAAAATATTTCAATATAATCATCAATTACAATGCAGCTGGGGATTTAGCTCAGTGGTTTCGCCACCTGCTGCGCAAGCACAAGGACCCGAGTTCGATCCCCGGTACCAAAAAAAACCTGCAATGCATGAAGTTGGTTCTCCTCAATATGATACATTTTCTAATTGGTAAAGGGAGCAGTAAAATGTCTTATATTTGTCACTGTGTTTCCATCTTCTAGTTCCCTAAATCTTTCTCAAACAAGAGACAGATGAGACCCGGGGATTTAGCTCAGTGGTTGCCTGCCTCGCAAGCGGAAGGGTCTGGAATTTGATCCCCAGTACCACAAAAAAAAAGACAGATGAAAATAAGACAAATTTCACCTGTCTACACAACCTTAAAGGTGTGTGTTGTTTTCAATTTTTCTAAATATTGTGCATCAAGCTAAAATTACTGCTTTAAGAAACAACTCTGATAGACACTAAGTAGATAAACTGATGGCTTAACTGGGAGAGTGGAGGACTGACTTTGTAGCAGTCTGGGGGAGACTGTTCCTGGAAGCCGCCCCAAAGCCCTAGGTTAATTTATCCAAATCTAATCTATTCTAACATGCACCAAGGCCCAATTCTTCTCCTCCATGAAGCCAGTGCAGACTCTTCTTCCTTCATCTTCCGTCCAACCAAACTTCCTGGTGAAGGTGGGTGCCACATAATTTCAGTTTCCTTATGTCATATTGCTAATCAGAACTCTCTCAGGCTTCTTCTCCCCAGCCGGGTGTGGGTGTTTTTTGTCACCATCTGCTCTGAGTAATCAGTAAAATAAATACTGAACACAGACACTGGGAAAATTTCTCGAGGCTTTCAGGCTTCATACATGCATTTGCACTGATTTTTGCTTGAGAACCACCCTCATGCCTGAGTTACTGCCACCGGTCTCATGGTAAAATAACCTAGAGTTCTATATAGGAATCCAGGCCCTTTTCCTTTGGTCAAATGTAAATAAACCATAATGGGATTATTGCCCCATTCAATCTGAGGCAAAAAGAGCTTTTCCCATCCTCAATTATGGTTTACACTTCCTCATTATGTCTCTATTTTAGGCACAAATGCTTTAACTCAGGTGTCACCTTAGACCTAAAGTAGTCATTACATTTACAAGTGTGACCAGAGGTCATGTGACAAAATGTAATAAAATGCTTGCTGAATCCAAATTGATTCTATTTCTAGTCCTGGAGTCAGAGTAAGTCATAAAATGACCATAAGGTTAAGTGGCCAAATACTGCAAATTATAATTTGCTAACCACTTTCCAACATTCATTCAAAATTGTGAAATAGATTGCTTGTTAGGTGGTGAGGTCGTCATAGATAAAGGTCTTTATGGAGCAGTTTATGGCCACCTATTAGGGGATGTTGAAGGAAGCAAACCTATCTGATAAGAGGTGGGACTAGATATCATCTCTCCCAAGAAATAGATGGGGGGAGGGGAGCATGTGGTAAAGAATTAAGACATGTATAGGTTCCAACTCCCCATGATGAATGTAATCGTACATACTGCAAACATGTACTAATAAAAATAAAAAATTTAAAAATAGCATCTCTCAGGGCTGGGGATTTAGCTCAGTGGTCTCGCTGCCTGCCTCGAAATCACAAGGTTCTGAGTTCAATCCCCGGTACCAAGAAAAAAAAAATAGCATCTCTCTATTGAACGTGGAATTTGTCAGAAAGCACCGGACAGCTTTTATGTGTGTCCCCTCACCTTCAGTACCAGGGATCGAACTCAGGACCTGGCGCTTGCCAAGCAGGGGCAGCACCACTGAGCTATATCCCCAGCCCTGACAGCTTTTGATTTATTCCAGGCCAGTACTGCCTGAAGTTCTGTAGTTCCCCCAGGACTCCTCAGTACTGCCAATTGGCCACTGAGTTACGCTTTATGTCATTATCAAAAACAAGTATCATAAAAGACATAGGATGCAGAACTCCTAACTCAACGAGTCATAAAAGGTCAGTGAGGAAATATTGTATGTATTAATATGACTCCCCATATATTGAATTATCAAGGATTATTCAAAGTATGATGGTGTTTCACAGAGCTTCTCAATTCCAACGCCCCGTTGCTCCTTGTTCAGGTTAAGCAGGAAGAGACTGGAGTACAAAAAATCAGTTCCTAGTACAAATTCACCTTAATATTTTTGGAGTATATCCAATTTCAATAGCGACTGCATAAAGTACAGTGTGACAGCAGAAATCAATACATGAAATCGTGCTGGTGGTCGCGGTACCTAGGTTTTTTCTCAGACCCCTGATTGTTTACCTTACGATCTTGCTTTCTGAGTTTATTTTTCCAGTTTGTGGCAAGAATTTGTGCTTTTAGGTCGTTGCCGAGAAACGTCACAGAAATATTCTACAGGACTCATTCAGAGTTCCTGAATTTGCTACTCGGGCTTTACCTACGGATCAGGATGGCTCTTTATTGGGAAAGTTAGTTGGACGGAAGATGAAGGAAAGGAGTGTGGGGACTTTCGTGGGCAGGGAAGTGGATCGGGACTCCAACTTGGAGGGGAAGGACAGCCTACATGAGCCGCAGCCCTGCTCCTGAAAGCTACAGCTGGACCGACAGCTCCTCCAGCTCTCGGTCCCCGGCGCTGTAGGCTGCCCAAGACTTCTCAACATTGAGGCACCCCAAGTCCTGACCTCTGCAGCAGCCGCGCTCAGTCCTGAGGCCGGCCGGAAGCACTGGGCCGCGTTCCCACCCGCCAACCCCAACTCACAGCCGGTCTCTTTCTTGATCTCCTCGAGCTCTTCGTCCCGCAGTAACGTGGAGGCCCGAGACCCCATTACCGTGCCGGGAGCTCCTCCGGGAGCGGCGGCGCCTGAAGCGACGGCGGCAGTAGAGAGAGAAGAAGGGAAGAAAGGGCTAGGGGTCAAGAAGGGAGAGGGCAGCGTTGTGCTGCGAACCTGGGAGGAAGGCCAGGGCGGTGCGCGGGGGCGGGCGGCCGGGGCACCAGCCAATCAGGAGCGAGGCCGCAGCCTGCGCCGGAGCCGACGTCTCCACTCAGCGCTCCAGCCCCCGAAAGAACCTGCCGGGCGCAGGCGGAGACAAGGCCCCGCCCCCGGAACAGCGGCTCGCGCCGGCCTTAAAACAGCAACACCACTGTGGCTCTGGCGACAGCAATTAAAAGGGCAACTCCAGCTAGGTACCGTTTTGCCACACTCTGACTAGCAGGCCGGCAGACGGCGTAGCCAACCGGTTTCTCACAAGACCCTAACACCGGAATCCCACTCTACTGGGGCCAGAGACTGCGAGAGAAAGAAAAACAGAGAAGACTTCGCGTGGAACCCTGACGGCGTGCCCCCGGAGCCGTGCACTGGGAGCCACGCTCCACTTTCCCGGCGGCCCTCTCTCTGCCCGACTGCAGGGGACGCAGGGGAGACGACCTCGGCCCTCGCCGATTGGCTCCCTGCACGCGGCGCCCAGCCGCTCTGCCCCGCCTTGTTGCTCTGCGCTCGCTCTGGGGCTTTCTTAACCGCCGCCGAAGGCCTGGGAGCGCCACGAGACTGCCTCCTAATCGCAGCTCCTCTTTTAGTTCTTGACTCCAGTTCAAAGAACTCACCATTTGACTGAAATTAAGGTCTGGATGTCCCAAACTTCCTGGGGGGTTACCCTACAGGTGGAGGAGAGTGAATTACCAGCGTTAAGAGACCGCCCATTTGGTTCATTTTTCTTAATAATGACAGATACTGTATTTCATTACATATTATGACATATTCTTCATGAAAAGTTGAAAGCCGTCGGGCGTAATGGTGCATGCCTGTAATCTTGGCACTCAGGAGGCTGAGGCAGGAGGATCGCTCAGAGTTCAGGGCCAGCCTGAACAGCATAGCGAGACTCTCAAAAAAAAAAAAGTTGAAAGCCCCCCCTTAATTAGTATGTACCCTGTCAGGTGAGCCAGTATTTTCTGGGTATTTCACAAACTTTCTTGGGCCTCTTTTTCAAATATAAATTCTTGCACCTGCTATTTTGTTTCTTTTAAGATATTTATTAGGGGCTTTTCCTATTTTATGTCCTTTTTGTAAAAAAAAAAAAAAAAAAAAAAGACACCCATTTATCTGTTCGATTAACTTGAACAAAGTGGTTTTCTCAGGCTTTCTAGTTCGTTCTCCTGTACCTTCTGGATGTACAACTCTTGGTCTTACTTTAGACCACAAACATCCTGCACGAGAGGCCTGGTTTTATAGTTTAGGTTCCATTATCTTCTAGTCTGGTGACTTTGTGCAGGTGTCTTAAATCTCTAAGCCTCTGTCTTTGTGTATTTAGGTTACAGTTCTTGCAAGTATCGAATAATATTTGTAAAAGCACTTGACCTTAAAATATATGTAAGGTCATAATAGCCTCGCAAGTGCCAGGTCCTGAGTTCAATCTCTGGTACCAAAGAAAGAAAAACCGCTACTATGTAACATCTCATCTTCCTAGTAGAATTAGTCTCTAGTTATTTCATCACTGTATTTTACTTAAATTAAAAAATTCACTGGTTGGATTTTCCTAGTGTGGCAAAGACAAGCAGCTTTTAAATTTAAAGCACAAACATTTATTTAGGGCTCTAAATACAAGGATATCCAAATAACAGAATTGTTCTCTAAAAATACTTAAGAAAGGATTAATCTTTTAAACTATAGTAACACTAAAGAACGTAAAAGAATGTCTGCTCTAAATGATAATTATTTCTGTGAGGTAGAGTTTTTTCTTTCTAAATCTCTGCACTGTGATTATAATCCTCCCCAGGCAGGGGTGCTCATCCTCAGTCCTTATTAATTAACTGATTAATTTTTGGTTAATTTTTTGTGCCATTGAACCCAGGACCTCACAAATGCTAGACAGATATTTTACCACTGAGCTACATTTCCAACACCCTTTTTATTTTTTCAAGGGCAGGTTCTTGCCAAGTTACCCAGGTTGGCCTCAAATCTGTGATCCTCCTCCTTCAGTCTCTGGAGTAGCTGGGGATTACAGATGTGCAGCACTGTGCCCATCCTCTTATAATTTTTTTTTTTTTCCTAATCATGAGCAGGTTTCATTTTCACCTCCCAAGAAGGTCTTAGTGTATGGTGGATGATAGTTGATCTATCAGGCTACACAGGACTGGTCCCAAAGCTGTGGTCAGGTTAATAATGGTTTGGGGTTTGTTTTTTGGGGGTTTTTTTTGGTACTGGGGATCGAACTCCGGTCCTTGAGCCTGCACAGCAGGCGGCGAAACCACCGGCCCTCAGGTTAATATGGAATAGTCCTTAAAGTGACATGGTAGGTGGGTTGGTAATGCATAAATTTAACAGTTCTAAGTCACTTCTGCTTTTGTTAATAAAAACGTCAAACTGGAAATGTTATTAACCAAAAGTGGCTCGATCCAGAAGAGGTCACATCCCAGACATTTCTGAGTAAACAATTTATTGCAGCATGTGTTGGCACACATTTTTGTTGACATCAGTTTTCTTTATTGGTTCTTGTTCTTTTGCCATTAAAAATGACATACATGGGGTGGGTGTGGTGGCACACACCTGTAATCTCAGAACTTGGGAGGCTTGAGGCAGGAAGAGCACAGAGTCCAAGGCCACCCTGGGCTACATAGACTACATAGTGAGTTCAAGGCCAGCCTGAACTGCATAGCGAGATCCTGTCTCCAAAAAAAAAAAAGGCATATATGTGCCATTGAAGAGCCTCTAAATGTTCTGCTTGTTACATTTGGCTACATAAGGAAAGGGAACACTAAGCCTGTTTTATGGACAAACTATTTTGCCCAAAGTCTTACTGTGTTCAGACTCAACTGTATGAATTAAGAGTTGGTGCTTGCAATGGATCTTTTCTCATTAGCATTCTGAAAAGATGAAATAAACTGAATTATTTGTGTTTTTATTATTCTTACAGATACGGGGAAGGAGACAGTAACCATACTCCTCAAATCTTAGATCTTTTTATTAATTTTGGAGTGTTTGAATATTTACAGAAGACTATTTGAAAACTGCTTTTGGAATCAGAGCATGGATCCCAGCAATGACTACCATTTCCTCAACCAGATTTTGTGGAGAAGAGTAAAACTCACTCTGGTCTCTGGTGTCTTTGAAGGTGTGCTCCATCATGTGGACCCCGATAAGATTGTTGTCCTGAAGAAAGGTCTTGTTCAATTTTCCTACTCTTCTTTCTCTTTTAAAAGATTAATGGCTAAGTGTGAGTGATGACTTTGGGCTCATTAGCAACTGAGAGTGCGCTGTTTTATTTCTATTTTAGGGAAAAGATAACAGGAAGATTAGAATACTGTTTTCTGTAACAGAGCAATGTGTCTGCATATACTGGTTGGTTCTCATTTCTTTTTTCTTTCTTTTGAGTTTTTTTGAGACAAGATCTCACTATGAAGTTCAGGCTGGCTTTAACCTCACTATGTAGTCTAGGATGGCTGTGAACTCGTGGCAATCCTCCTGCCTCCAGCCCATTTATTTACTTTTTTTTTTTTTCCCCTATACCGGGGATTGAATTTGGGACCTTGCACTTGTGAGGCAGGCAGTGGAACCACTGAGCTAAATCCCCGGCCCTCATTTCTTTACTTTTATTGACATGATAGTGGATATTTTTCAGTTGGGCACTTCTCTTAATTTCTCTCCCTATGCATCTTGAAATTAAAGTACTGTTAAAATTATTCTTTGCTTCAACAGGCAAATCACAAAGATAGTAATGAGTTAATTTTTCTCATGCTAAAAGAAATCTAGAGGTAAACTGTTAAGCAGTTCAGTGTCTGGAAGAACAGGGACTAGGACCTTGTGTTCTTGCTCTGCCACCTCAGTGACATCTGTCATCTTCATGGGTCATAGGGTAGTCTGCATCTCTCCACTTCACTTCTGGTTTCTCAGAAAGGACACAGTTGTCTATGTGTGATGGCACCTGCTTGTAATCCCAGTACTTAGGAGGCTGATGCAGGAGGATTGCTGAGAGTTTGAGGCCAGCTTGGGCTACATAGTGAGTTCAATACCAGGCTGAAGTGTACAGGGAGACCTAGTCTCAAAAGAAACTTTAAAAAAAGGAAACAATTGAGGAACAGGGAAATAGAAGAGATGGATGCATAGGGAAGTGTGGGGAGGGATGCAGACCTTCCACACCCTCTCTGGTGTACCAGCCTCCCAGCACATGCAGATATTCACTGTCCTGGAAGCTTCAATATACGGATACAAAGTTTCTACTCACCTAGAAATTGACTTGCTAGGGTAGTTGTTTTCCTTGCATGATAAATTTCAAGTTTACAATTGAAACAAATTATAAGTGGTATTTGAAAGATTAGTTTTGTCCTTAGACCATATTTTGAGTTAAAATAGGCTTTCATAGACTAGGATGGGACTACAACAGCCTTTTGCAACATTAATTCATTAAATAATTTTTTATTGGTTCTCTTAAACCCAGGTACTATGCTTGGTACCAAGAATGCAGGTAGGAATAATATGGTCTCAGTCCTCAAAAACTTAGTCTATAAGGAGACAAATAAGTAGACAAGTGTAACAACGTGGTCATCTCTGACAGAGGGAAGGCCAGGTACTTTGGAAACAAAGTCTCTGCACGTTTATGTCTAGGGGTGCTTGGGTGAGGATATTGGGGAAGGGTCCAAAAGGAGGAATTGATGGAGAACTGCATGCAGGTGAGTAGGAATTAACAGTGGAAGAGGGGCAGGTTGATTCAAGCACGTGGTTCTTAAACGCCATACATACATCAGAATCACCTGGAGTACCTGTTAAACAGTGCTGGGCCCTGCTCCCAGAATTCTGATTTTCAAGTCTGGGTGGGCCTAAGAGTTTGCACTTGTAGTAAGTTTTCCTATGATGCTGGGCTTTGGAGCCACATTTTACAAGGATCATTGTTTTAAGTAGAAGTGATAGAATGTCCAAATATGGGGAGACCCCAAAACTTCAGAAACCCTAAGTAGGTTTCCACATGAGGATGTGAAGAGAGATGAGTCTGAGATGTAGACAGGGGACAGCAGAAGTACCTCACCTATTTAGTGTTTGGTTACTACACTGACAGCAGGGAATGATCGGAAAGACTTTTTGGGGAGGCATGTGAATTTCCAGGTTAGTCGCCTACAAAGCTTAATGCTATGCCCGGTCCAGTCCTCTCAGCTGTTAGAATAGCCGAGAGTTGCTCCAGTGGCTTAAACAAATGAGTTTATTTCTCATGCAAAAAAAGGTAGGTATCCCTGGGCTACTGTGACTCTACCAAAGTCAGCAGGGATCCCAAACTCTTCATCTTTCTGCCCCTCTCCTTAGCAGGCAACTTCAAAGCTCTAGGCCCTGTGAGAACTGATGGCGTTACAGACTGGAAGACAAAGAGACAGGGAAAAGGGTGCTCCTCCTAACTAGTCAGTCCCCTTAAAGCAATGTCTGGGAAGTCCCAACAGGGCACCACCATCTGCAGGGGAGCCTGGACTGGCTGCCCACCTAAATGGCATCGAGTAGACAAGCAGCTTGTTCCCCACAGCATTTAACCTAGGTGAGATAGTTTAGTGTTTTTGTGTCTAACCTTTAATTACATTGATTTTATATAGTTGACAATTAAGTATATAATATATACTGTCTTTTTAAATTTTTTTTTTTGATACCGGGATTGAGGGTCCCTCCACTTGCCAGGCAGACACCAGAACCACTGAGCTAAATCCCTGGCCCCCTTTTAAATATTTTTGAGCAGTGGTCCTGAGCCGTTGCTCAAGCTGGCCTTAAAATCTTGGTCCAAGTGATTCTCCCACCTCAGCTGCTGGAACTACAGGTGGGCACCACTGTGTCTGGCTTTTTTTGTTTTGTTTTTTTTTGTTGTTTTTTGAGACAAGGTCTCATTATGTAGTTCAGGCTAGCCTTGAACTCACTATGTAGTCTAGGCTGGCTGTTCTCCTGCCTCAGCCTCCCAAATGCTGGAACTACAGGCATGTGCCACCACACCAGGCCTTTTTTTTTTTTTTTTTGGCTAATTATATTAACTTGGTGAGAAGCATATTCTCAGCAGGTATCTAACACATCCCTGTAATCTCAGTACTGTACTTAGGAAGCTGGGCCAGGGGAATAGTAAGTTTAAGACTACTCTGGGCAAATTACCAAGAGCCCATCCCAGATATATAAAGGGCTGGGAATCTAGCTCTCTGCTCACTGGGTTCAATCCTCGCTCCCCCCCAAAAAAGTAAATTCTCTTCTTCTTAAATCTTCAATATAATGATTGAATATTTTAAAGCCAAAAACTTTTAAAAAATTATTTGAGACAGGGTCTTGCTATGTAGTTCAGGCTGGGCTCAAACTCAAAGTAATCCTCCTGCTTCAGCCTCTCAGATGCTGGGGTTACAGGCATGTGGCATTATGCCTTGATTTTTTAAAAATTCTTGAGCCAGGCATGGTGGCATACTCCTTTAATACCAGCACTCTAGGGGCCTGAGGCAAGGGGATTGCAAGTTTGATCCCAAACTTGTGACTTAGTGAGACTCTGTCTCAAAATTTTTAAAAAGTTAAAAAGGGAGCTGGGGATTTAGCTCAGTGGTTCCAGCGCCTGCCTCAAAAAGCACAAGGTCCTGAGTTCAATCCCTTGTACCAAAAAAAAAAAGGTTAAAAAGGACTGGAGATATGGTTCAGTGTGAAGGTCTTGGATTCAACTCACACGCACGCACACACATGCATGCACACACACGAGAAGGGGCCTCCACAAGTCTCCAGGCTGGCCTTGAATTTGTAATTCTCCTACCTCAGCCTCCCAGAGTGCTGGGATAATACATATGCACCACCATACCCAGCTTTAAATGTTTTTGGTGCCTATTTTTAAATAACTGTCAAAAGGATTAATGTCTTTTTAGTTTGCTGACCTACTGGAAAATAAGCACCATTTTTCAGGATGCTCATAAGCCCTATCCCCAAAATAAGCCCCAGTTAAGATCATCATCCAGATGGCTATGTTTAGTATGTCTATTGCAACACACAATGGACCATTGAATTTTAAAAAATAATATATAATCAAAAATAAATATTATTGTCATTAATCCTTAAATGGTAATATAAATTATAATTAAGTATTTATAAATTCCCAAGTGGGTACCCTTAGACAAGAGGTAAATGCCTGTGTAAACAGATGAACTGGAGACATTGCCAAGTGACCAACTGGGAATACAGACAACACAACGTGCACACTTGATAATGAATGGACATAGTTGTGTCCAATATGAATCTTCACAATTCAGTACATCATGTATGGTAATGAACGTACTTAATGTACTCATGTGAAATAAAGAACTTCAGTTTCTACAAATTTTCGTCACTTTTATGTGGTCCATCATTCTGAACTGTCGTCATTTTAGTCACCACTCCTGTCTACTAAGTCTTCAATTAACATTTGATCTCATGGAAATTCTGTGAAGCCCAGCCTGCAGGAGGTTGTGATCTGGGTGCAGAATTCATGGGATAAAATCACTTGGGGCAGGGATTTAGCTCAGTGGTTCCACAGCCTGCCTTGCAAGTGCAAGGTCCCAAGTTCCATCCCTGGTGCAAAAAAAACAAAACACAGCTGTGTTGTCACTGCACTAGGAGCAGGCTACATGGACAGGAAGTGCTCATTTAAGAAGGGCTCTATTGCTGGACATGAGAGAGTGGGGCCAATGGCTCTATAGGAAATGGAGTCGCAAGAAATTCAGGCCCAATTCAGGGTTTGGAGAGTTATGACAATGCTCCAGAAGAAGATGACATGACCGTATTTGAATAAATGTAGGTTTTTGTACATGAGTAAGTGTAGATTGTTGTACATGAATAAATTATTGTACATGAAAAAATAAGACATCCTCTGAAAATAAGCCCTATTGAGTCCTTTGGAGCAAAAAATATAAGACCTAGTCTTATTTTCAGGGAAATACAGTAGTAATATATGAGTAAGTTACAATAAGTAATCTAGCATTGGATTTTTTTCCCCTGTTCTGAGGATTGAACCTAGAGCCTTTGCTGTGAGCTATATCCCCACCCCTTTTTAAAAATTTGAGACAAGGTCTCCCTAAATTACTAAATTTCTCAGGCTGGTGTCAGATTTGCAATCCTGCCCCAGCCTCACAGAATGCTCAGGTTACATCCTTGCACCATCCTTCCTAGCTTAGCATTGAGTTTTTATTTATTTTTGGTACTGGAGATTGAACTCAAGACCTTGTGCTTGCAAGGCAGGGAGTGGAACCACTGAGCTAAATCCCTTCCCCAAGCATTTAGTTTTTAAAAAGTAATGTGTATCTTTCCTTCATTTTTTGCTTCTTTTATAGACAAAAGTAATATTTTATTTTTGCATGTTATAAAAATATTCCTAAAGAGATTGAATGTATTTCTCTACTGTTTTTACTAATTTTATGTACTATTTGGACAGAGTAGTATGTAACATCACTATGACAGCAGCATGAGGGAAGAGCGGCAGTAGGGGGTAACAAGACAAAGAGAAGATGTAGGAACTATTCAATTGGGAAACAATGAAGGGCATATGATGAGGGTCTGAACTAGTTCATGGCAAATAATAGAGATAGCTTCTAGAAATGAAATTTAGGAGATGAGGTAAGTGACCTAGTGATCAATTAGTAAGCAAAGAACAATGGAAAATGATTCCTATATTCATAGCTCAGGAGATTAGGTATATAGTACTATTACTAACTGATAGGAATGGGAAGACAAGCATGTATTTTGGTTGGTGAAGATGATTCAGTTTGAAAATCTTACAGTAAGTCAGCTATGAGTTGAAAATGTCAGAGGAATAATCCATTCTGGAGGAATAATGGTTTGAGGGACAACTGGGAAGTGAATAAGATCATTCAAGGAGAAGGAAGGAAAAATGAAGACATAACCTTAGGGACCAGGAATGTGTAAGGGGCAAGCAGTGATGGTAGAGATGGCAAAGGAGACTGGAAGGAACAAATCGGGAAGCCAGCTGGGTGTGAAGGTACAGGAGGGTCACAAATTCAAGTGCAGCCTGGGCAATTTAGTAATACTCTGTCTCAAAATGTAATATATATATTTTTTGGTACCAGGGATCAAACTCAGGACCTTGTGCTTTCGAGGCAGGTAGCAGGATCACTGAGCTAAATCCCCAGCAAAATTTAATAATAAGGGCTGGGTAGGTAGTTCAATGGTAGAGCACTTCCTAGTGTGTGCAAGCACCTGGATTCCATCCCCAGCACCACAGAACAAAAACAGGCCTGTGTTTGAATCCCAACTGTTTTTACTCCTGGTAGCAGTGTGACCTCAAACTAGTAATTCATCGTTTCTGATCCCCATTGCTTGTCTCATGTTACTGGAGACATGAATACAGGCAAGTAGCAGGATGCCTGGCTTGTTATACTGCTCAGTGTGGCAACTCTAAATAATTAGTAAGAAAAGAACTGAGTATGAAGAATGTCCTGTAAGCCAAAGAAGAAAGGAGAGAGTAATGCTGCCAAGGATCATGCAAGAGTCTAGTAAGACAAGACTGCAGTACTTGGTTTGGGTTTGATGAATAGGCAGTAATCTTTGACCTCAGAGTATATTCTGTGGAATAGTGAGGGTGGAACTCAGTTATTTAGATTGCTGAGAAGTGTGGAAACACTTGATGAATCCTTCCAGCTAGAAAAGGAACAGCACATTGTAGACATGACATCTAAACTTCCCCTAACTCCTTTCCAAAAAACACGACAGTTGGGCAGTTCCTGGTACTTTTCAACCTGTAACATGATGTGAAGCAGCGGGCAGACCTAGGAGCAGTCCAGTGCCTTCACTTTTATTTTCTGGCATTAGATGGAATAAAATGAATAGAAATATAATCAATATTCCATATCCCTAAGGCATTAGAATAGTCTCAGGAGAATTTCAAATTTAGTGTACCACTGCTAACCCCTTTTAAAAAGTTTCTTTGGAACCTTTCCAAGGTATACTGTTCTTGATACTACTTGTTCCAAAGCTGTAGCTTTGCAGTTAATTATTAACTCTATTCTTCAGGGAAAATAATGTGGGGATTTTAATAAAAATTCACATCTTGACAATTTTAAAGAAGTGTGATGTTTTCTTACCATTTTAGGAAAATGTGATTTTTTTTTTTTTTTTTGGTACTGGGGATTGAACTCGGGTCCTTGCACTTGCGCAGCAGGTGGCAAAACCACTGAGCTAAATCCCCGGCCCATAATGTGATTTTTTTATTAACCAAGTGAATTGTTTTATCTGGCAGTGAAGAATGTGGAGACAGGCCAGAATGTCCCAGGAGTGAAGATATTTTTTGGGCATGAGATTGTGAATGGTGAGTGTTTTGTGTTCCCTGAGTACTAGTAGTGGGATTTGCAGTTGAAAACCCCATTGACCTTCTTTGTTCCAATATTTATAATAAAATAGGGCCAGTTATGGTGGTGCATGCCTGTAATCCCAGCACTTGGGAGGCTGAGGCAGGAGGATAGTGAATTCAAGGCCAGCCTGAGCTATACAGTGAGACCCTGTCTCAACAAATAAAAAAATAAAATGGGGTATTGTATTGCCTTTAATAATTGCATTTATGGACTCTTTAAACGTGGCATTTGAGCATTGACCCTTCTTTGGCGTTTTGGTGGGTGCTATAGAAACAAAATGGGTATCATTTTGGTTTGACAGTGTGAGGTTTGCTGCTACCCATCCCCAAGACTGGCCACAGGCAGTCAGGAACCTGGACATGAAAGGATTGTCTCTGTTATGGCTTGTGTCCAGGTGTCCCCTCAAAGCCTCATGGAGTCATATGGAGTGCTTTTCAGAGTGCTGGATCTACAGTGTGTGGTGCTGGGATGAAGGGTGTGTGATTAATAAATCCATCCACTGATTGGTTTGGCATAGTTCTGTCTAGGATTAAGTGTGTGAGTGCTACACTTACCTTAGGGACAGGAAGAGGGCTAATATGCTCTCCCCTGCCTGCTTGCCATGGACTCTTTCTCCTCTGTGATACCCCTCTGCCATGCCACCCTGACTTGGAGCCAGCCAACTCTAACCTCTACAAACTGTGAGCCAAAATAAACCTCTCCTCCTTTAACTTATGGGTGTTGGGTATTTTGTCTCAGCAACGAGAAAAATAAGACAGTCTTGCTCAGTAAGCTACTTAAACCCCACAAGTTCACCACCTATCCACGATCCCTTTTCTGAAAACTTGGAGCCAAATATCTCAGGATCCAGAATTGTCCTAGATTTTTAGAAAACATAACACATAGTATATACCAGTGATGGTGAACCTTTTAGAGACAGAGTGCCCAAACTATAACCCAAAACCCTTATTTATTGCAAAGTGCCAACACTGCAATTAAACCAACATACGGAGGGGTTTAGAAAAAAATAACTCATTCATTAGCATCTTTTGTCTTAAAAGAAAAACCCAATAACAGCTTTCAATGATAAAGCGTTTTATAGAAAGGTAAAACTTTGCTTTTGGCATGCGTTGTTTGTTTGTTTTTGGAGACAGGATCTCACCCTGTAATTCAGGCTGGCCTTAAGCTTACTATGTAACCCAGGTTGGCCTTAAACACATGGTGATCCTCCTGCCTCAGTCTCCTGAGTTGTGGGATTACAGGCATGGTCACCTGGCCCTTGGTGTGCTTTTGCACAATTAATGTGATCTTTGCTGTTGTATGCATGCTGATAATTTGTCAAACCTTGACTCATACTTCATTAGTTTGAGAGCAATACATGCACACAGCACTCAGGTCATTTGTTAATCACACATGGATGGCCCCGTGTGAGCTGTTACCTGAAGCTTGGCTGCTGGGGCAGCTTGGCCTGGATGCCAACAGAGAAGGGGCTCTGCATGCCCACTGCAGCGCACATGCCATCGGTTCGCCACCACTGGTCTATACTGTTCATGTTATATAACACCTCAAGAGGGTCAGGTAACTCCCTACAATACAACATATTTCTCCAGAGGAATAGGTGGATAATCATACAAAGTGGAATAAAGTAGAACTATAAATAGTTTGTCAGGGGCCAGGGATTTAGCTCAGTGGTTCTGCTGTCTTCCTGGCAAGTACAAGGTCCTGAGTTCGTTCCCCAGTACCAAAAAAAAAAAAATAGTTTGTCAGGTCAGGTTTTGTGCCCAAAAGAGTTACAACAAGATTTTGATTTTCAAAGCTTTTTGGATTTTGGGATTGCAGGAAGCAGTCTGTTCTTGTTTGTGCAGGAATAGGTCTAATTGTTTGATAGAGTAGCTATAGAAGCTCATCTAGTCAGTGCCCTTCAGATAAGTCAGCTAGGATAAGAGAAAGGGGTGCAGGTTTTCCCCTTCTGTCCTTCGGGGAAGAGTAAAGATCAGTTCAGAGAGGAGGGACAGAGGAATGGAACTCCTAGGACCTCTCAGGGCTTAGTGTTCCCACTGAAGGGAAGATCTGAGAAAAAAAAAAAAAAGAGTTTCTGCAGTAGGACGTGGTAATACATGCCTGTAATCCCAGTGCTCAGGAGGCTGAGGCAGGAGGATCAACTCAAATTCGAGTTTGAGGCCAGCCTGGGCCACCTAGTGAGTTCAAAGCCAACCTGAAGTATATAGTGAGACCCTGTCTCACTAAAAAAAATTTTTTTCACTCAAAAAAATTTTTGGCCCGGGGATTTAGCTCAGTGGTTCTGCCACCTGCCTCACAGGCGCAAGGTCCTGAGTTCAATCCCTGGTACCAAAAAAATTTTTTTTTCTACTGGTGGAAAGATTGAAATGAAAATCTCACCAAATTAATGTGCCACAGAGAAATGCTCTTTGTCCCCTGGACACCTTTTCATAATGCCAATGATGGTGGTTTAAAAATATAACCCCCCTATATACTCCCTTGGTACTAGGGACCAGACCCAAGGGCCTTCCCACTGAGCTACATCCTCACCCCTTTTTATATTTTATTTTGACACAGTCTCCCTAAATTACTAAATTGCTCAGGGTGGACTCAAACTTGTGATCTTCCTGCCTCAGCCTCTCACACGGCTAGGATTACAGGCCTGCCCCACCACACCTAGCTCTCACAGCTTTTCTCTCTCTCTCTCTCTCTCTCTCTCTCTCTCTCTCTCTCGCTTGCTCGCTCACTCTCTCTCTCTCTCGCTCGCTCTCTCTTGTCTGTCTCCCTCTCTCTCCCGCTCTTTCTCCATCATCCCTGTCTCCAATGTGCTCTTACTATATAAATCACACCCAGTTTTAGAACTATTTAAAAATATGCCTCTTAGAATCAGCGAAATATAGTGTTTCTCTGTTATCTCCTGCACAATTAGGTTAAAAATAAGTGGTTTTGGGGGCCTGGGATTTAGCTCAGTGGTTCTGCTGCCTGCCTTGAAAGCACAAGGTCCAAGCACAAGGTCCCCCAGTTTGATCCCCGGTACCAAAAAAAAAAGTGGTTTTTGAATGTCTGGAATGTTTCTCTGTTGTCTTTTGTGATTTCCATACTACCTTTCATTACGTCCACATCAATGAACCATAAATGCATCAGCCTATGAGAGTGACAGTGAGACACCTGTGAATAATGTAATTCCCTTCCCCAAATGAAAAAGCAAAATAACGTAATACTGCTGACAGAGTGAAGGGAAGGTATCCTTAGCACTGGGTTGAGTAAGAAAGAAATCTCTGGTGGGGCATAGTAGTGCCTGCCTCTAATCCCGACCTGGGCAATTTATGAATTTAGTGAGACACTGTCTCAAAATAAAACGGGTGGGATGTAGCCTAGGTTCATTCCCCAGTAACCCCCCTCCCCCAAATCAAGAACTAGTGTGAACAACCACAGATGCATGTGGGAAAAAACAGTAATGGAAACAGAGGTTCCTAACCCTGCTAAGTAACCAAGAAGCTGAGGACATAACATTGGGAATCAGTGGTATTGTAGGTAGTTTTTCTACTCTGTTCATTGCTGTCTGCTGAAGGCCTGACATTTAATTTCCAGTTACTGTTTGCAGTCATTGTCAAATCGGTTGTGTGAGAATGGGGAAGGTAATTTCTTTCTGATTGTAAACTGGTGAAAACAATTTTTTTTTTCCAGTGGAACCACTAGATGAGGTGGAACAAGGTTCTGTGAGAGAAAAAACATCTTCTGTTAGGTATGATGGGATAATTTTCTTCATTCTGAGATTTTTCCCAAATGTGCACATTAGGGTAGAAAGATTTAACTCTAATCCACTAGCTTATTGATTCCTAAAATAGCCTAAGAGAATAGAAATAAGAAGGAATATATGAATATCTGCTTCCATCTCCCTCTCTCTCTCTGTCTCTCTCTCTCTCTCTCTTGTTTTTTTGTTTTTGCTCTTTTGAGACAGGGTCTCTCTATATAGCTCAGGCTGGCCTTGAACTCACTAAGTGGCCCAGGCTGGCCTCGAACTCATGGCAGTCTTCCTGCCTCAGCCTCCCATCCTTCCATCTTTTGATAGTATCTTCAAGCCCACATAAGCAGTGGATGAATGGCCATGGAGAACCACAGTCCTTAATATCTCTCTCTCTCTCTCCGTCTTTCTACTTGGGTTTTTATTTTTTTTTGGTACCAGGGATCAAACTCAGGTCCTTACACTTGCGGGGCAGGCGGCGGCACCACTGAGCTAAACCCCTGGTCCATCTTCTTGGTTTTTTGAGACAAGCTCTTGCTTTGTAATTCAGACTGGCCTCAAACTCACAGCAATTCTCCTACCTCAGCGTCTTGAGTGCTAGGATTAGAGACTTGCACCACCATGCCCAGCCCATAGTCTATTCTTTTTTTTTTGGCACCAGGGATTGAACTCAGGACCTTGCACTTGTGAGGCAGGTGGCACCACTTAGTTAAATCCCCGGCCCCCACAGTCTTTATTCTTAATGTGTAGCACAATCTGCATATGGCAGCAGTAACAAAGAACAAGTTCACCTGAGTATTTTGTTTGTTTGTTTGCTTTTGTTTTTTTAGTAAGGATAGTTTAAATACAGAAGGAACCAGGATGGAAAAAATGAAAGGTGAAAACCTAAAAGTATGTGAGCCTACTTCACCTGCCCTAAAAGCACCAATTGCCCCTCTGCTGAATGACCTCAAGAACAGCCCATCAGGTAAGTCCTAGGACTCTGAATTTTGTAGCCTATCTTCCTCATGGTTTAGAACTCTTTGGAGTTGGGATAACCCTGAATCAAGATTCTGTATGAGCCAGGCATGGTAGTGCTCACCTGTAATCCCAGCACTGGAGAAGCTGAGGCAGGAGGATCATCATGAGTTCGAGGCTAGCCTGAACTACATAGCAAGACCCTGTCTCAAAAAAAAAAAAAAAAAAGAAAAGAAAAGAAAAAAAGATTCTGTGTGGAATGCTCAGCTGAATCATTGTTTCTAGGCTCTGAATGAAGACAAATATTCCAGGTATGGGGCACACACCTGTAATTCCAGCACCAGGGAGGCTGAGGCAGGAAGATCACAGTGAGTTTGAGGCCAGCCTGGGCTATATAGTGAGTTCAGGGCCAGCCTGAAGTACATAGTGAGACTGTCTTAAAAAAAAAAAGGCAAATACTATACCTTGATCCATTTACTTGATATGTGAATGCATGTTGTACACCAGGCATTGGGGATACTGCCCTCACTGAGCCATGATACAGGAGACAGGTACCAAGTAAGATAAATGAGTTAAATATATACAGTAATACCCTAGACCAAACACTGAGGAGAAAAAAAACACAGAAGGAAGATAAGATGTAGATAAGACAGTTTTGCAATTTCACGGTGTCTGGGGCAGGCCTCCCGGTGTCTGGGGCAGGCCTCTGTGAGATGGTGACATTTGAGTGGCGTGGCTGCCCTGGGAGAAGCATGTTTCAGGCTGAAGAAAGAACAAGCTCCTGAAGCAGGGCCTGCCAGGGTCTTGAAACAACAGCGGAGAGGGCAGTGCAGCTGGCTCAGAGAGACGAGCAGTAGAGGAGACTGGTTGGATGATCACAGAAGAGTTTGTAGGTCCTTGAAGGAACTTTAGTCTTTACTCTGAAGTGGGAAGAGAACCCATTGCAGTGCTTCTGTTTTTTCATTAAAAAAACACAACAAGCCTTTAGCCATTCTAATAGATACGTAGTGGTATCTCCTTGTAGTTTTAATTGGTCTTTCCCTGAAGATTAAGATCTTTTCATGTGTGTATTTGCCTTCTGAACATCTTTGGTGACATGTCTTTTAATACCTTTTGCCTGCCTGCTTGCTTGCTTTCTTTCTCTTGTTTCTTTCCTTCCTTCTATTTTATTTTTGTTGTTGTTGTTGTTTTTGTTTGAGATAGAGTCTTGCTATGGAGTGCAGGCTGGCCTTGAACTCACTAGGTAGCCCAGGCTGGCCTTGAACTCCAGGAAGTCCTCCTGCCTCAGCCTTTTGAGTGCTGGGATTATAGTCATGCATTACCACACCTGGCCAGATCCCTTATTTCTTATTGTGTTTTATAGTTCTTAGAGTAAAAGTCTTTCATATCTTTTGTCAAACTTATCCCTAAGTGTTTCATATTTTATATTATGATACTTTTAAAAATTTTTCTTTTTGCAATACTGGGATTTGAACCTAGGACCTTCACACTGAACTATATCCTCAGCCCTTTTAATGTTTTTATTTTCTTGCTAAATTGCCAGGTTTCCCAGGCTGAGTTCCTCCCAACTCACCGTCCAAGAATGCAGGGATTATAGGCATGTACCTGCACACCTGTCTGGAAATGATATAGTTTAACTTCAGTTTTCTGTTACAGGGTTTTGACCAGAGGAATAACATGATCTGACTTCTTTTTTCATGAAGTCACTGTGGGGTATTGAGAGGAGGGCAGAGGAAAGAGCACGGACTCTAGTGAAGAGGCTGTTGGGATAGCCTGAGCTAGGTGGGCACTGTGGCTTGGCCCCTGGTGGTAGCTGCAGAGTAGGTAAGAAGTATTGAAGGTGGAGCCCGTGGGATAGGCTGCCAAATACGGGTATGAGAGAAAGGAGTCAAGGATCACTTTGGGGTTTTGGCCTGAGCAGCTGGAAGTATGGAGCTGCTGTTAAACTGAAATGGGAAAGACTGTATGGAAAAGGTTTTAGGAAGCTGATTGGTTTAGTTTTGGTCAGTTTTAAATTCAAAGAAAAGGAGAGAGGTCTGATATGGAGAAAGAAATTCAGGAATTGCCCTATAGATGATATTTATGTGCTTTGGTTTTTGTTGGTACCAGGGATCGAACTCGGGCCCCTGAGCTTGTGCAGCAGGCTGCAAAACCACTGAGCTAAATCCCCAGCCCCCTATAGATGATATTTAAAGCCTTGAAAATAGATGTGGTCACCCAGAGAGTGAACATGGATGTGAAGGAAGAGAGATGTGGACAGCGTCCTGTGGCACTCCTAAGGGGAGGGTTTGGGAGATGAACTCTTTGTTGCCAGGCAGGGTGGTGCACACCTGCAGTCCCAGCTAGTCATGAGGCTGAGGCAGGAAGATTGTGTGTTTCAGGGCAGCCTGGGCAATTTAGCAAGATCCTATCTCAAAATAAAATTATTTACTTATTTTTGTTTTTTTGAGACAGGGTCTTGCTGTGTAGTCCAGGCTGGCTTTGAACTCACTATGTAGCCCAGGCTGGCCTTGAATTCACAGCAATTCTTTTGCTTCAGCCTCCTGAGTACTGGGATCATAGGTGTGCACCACTACACCTGGCTCATTTATTTTAAACTGTTACTTTCTGTTAGGAACATTGGGTCAAAAAACATATGACTTAAGGTATTCAAGACATAAATCTATGAGGTATTCAAGATATTAATTATTACTGTTATCACAGGAAATGAGCAGATAGTTCCATTGTAAGGTTATCATTGGTAGGACATTTGTTTAATTTTCAACTGACAAACAGAATGGTAATTAGTATTCACTGTGAGAGGGGACCAACACAGGTGATGGTGAAAGAACTTTCAACATTTGACTTGCAATAGAATTGGAATTTATGAGTATGGCCAAAATTAGTGCCATAAGAAGATAAATATATTTAATGCTGTTTTTTTTTCTTGTAGAAGAGAAGGAGGTGACATACACTGTCATCGATCAGTTCCAGCAGAAGTTTGGTGCTGCAGTAAGTATTGTCCTGTGTCACTGCCAACTTGTCTTGGTATAGGTATCATGTTGATGTCTCATCAGTTCTTTTATAAGATCTTTGATGTCTTCCATTTTTTTTTTTTGGTACCAGGGATTGAACTCAGGACCTTGCGCTTTTGAGGCAGGGACTGGAACCACTGAGCTAAATCCCTGGCCCCTGATGTCTTCCTTATTAACTCAACAAAATATTTTGGATGCTCACTGTATGCCAGGCATTTTTCTGAGATCTGGGGTAAAACAATATCAAGGCAAAGTTCTAGGCTTCTAATGTAACCCCCCCCCCCACGGGATCTAACTCAGGATCTTGCACTTGGAAGGGAGGCACAGTGCCACTGAGCTAAATCCCTGGCCCTCTAGGCTTCTAATGTAAGATAATCAATTGTTTATCAGCTGGCAGTAATCACTGTGAAGGTGTGGATAATAGATAATAGAGTGACAGGGATTATATGAGATGGATGGAGGAAATTTCTCTGAAGAGATAATATTGAAAGGAGGCTGTGAAGAAGGTAAGCGAGCTACTACGGTAGCTATGTGGATCTAGATTTAAAAACTTGAGGGTAGAATTAGCAGGTGTGAAGGGAGTGAGGCTAAAGCATTCTGGGCTTGTGTGGAAGAGCAGCAGGGGAGCTAACAGGACAGAACTGCAGTGAAGAAAAGTCATAGGGGGCATTTAGCTCAGTGGTGCCACACCTGCCTCGCAAGAGCAAGGTCCTGAGTTCAATCCCTAGTACCAGCAAAAAAAAAAAAAAGAAGAAGGGGTAG